CCAAGGGGTGCCCCTGTCCCACCCCCGGGCCCTCTGACCCCCCACAGCCAGCTTGATGCTCTCTGCAAACCCACAGCCCTCACACACGCAGCCCTCAGGCACCCCACACTTCTGGCACCCCTGACACCAGCAGGGACCCTCTGCCTGACTCATCCCCCTGCCTGCCCCTGGGCTCTCCAACTCACTGGCCAGCCAAGCTCAGGGACAGGCTGCGTTGTGCTGGTGACCAGTCCCTTTTCCACCCTTTTGGCCTCTCCCCTGCCTTGTCCTCCCTGACTCCTTCCACTCCACATGGCCTCTGGACTCATCCCAGGGATGTGCAAAGTGCTGCCACATCTGTCCCCTCCCGAGTCCAAGGAGCAGCCCTGGAGCAGGGGTGTGCCTGGGCTTGCTGCCAGAAGGCCATGTCCAGATTAAAAAGTCCACAAATTAATCAACAACCTTCACATTTGAGGGAAGCAGCGCAGGAGGAAATGGGTGTCAGGCTGGGGCAAAGGGACAATTTTCTTTGGTTTCCGGACAGCTCAGCTGGGATCAGAGGACACCTCCAAGGTGACAGCCGAGCAGCTCCTGCTCCAGCCGGATCCCAGGACAGAGCTGAGCGTCTCCAGGTATGTGGCATCTTTTGGGAAAGATGGGATGAAAATTGCCCTCTGACACCTGCCAGAACCAGCTCTGCTTTCCATGTCCCGTTAGCAAAGTGGAACCAAGTCAGTGGCAAAAAGGGGGGACGGGTGAGAGAGCAGAGCAGAGCCAGGTCCTGTCTTGGCTGGGCCTTGGATGAGTGTTTGGACTCTTTGACTTCCCTTGCTCCAAAGCCTTCTCCCACTCTCAGGGAGGTGCAGGCAATGAGTCCTGACTTGCTCAGAGTTTGTCCTTCTCGTCCTGCCCCTGTGCGTCTCCTTCTTAAGGCTGGATCAGAAAAGCCAGGGCTCCATAGGAAAACAACTACCCCTTTCTGCTGGAATTGGAGGAGATGGTACAGCTTGTCCTTTGCTTTCCCATGGGAAATTCCCACCACTTTTGGTACCAGTCAGGTCCTTTGTCTATAAAGCACTAACCAAAGTCAGTCTGATGAAGGAAAATCGATTTCAACCTTCAGCATCCAAGTTTCTTCCCTCGACATTCCAGAAAGGGCTGAAATCAGCAATGAAACCCCTTTCAAAGTGAATTCATCCTGCTTGCTTGGTTGGTTGGTTTTAAATTCCCTTGTTTGTCTTCCCTCTTTCCTTTGCCCTCTCCTTTGCCATCTCCAGGTTGTGCTCCAGGGAGGAGGATGCTCTGTGGTTCCCCCATCCACTGCTCTCTGCTGGCTTTTGTCATTTCCACTTTAGTTTTCCAAGTTCCTCAGGGGCACTCAGGTAAGAATCCCCCTGTTCTTGCTGGATGCTGTGCCATGGCTTCCAGCTGGAATATCTTGCTGGTTGCCAGTTGCAGCAGCTCGCTGGGAACAGCAGAGCACAGAGCAGGGTCAGGCCCTTCCGCACACCTTCTCCACTTCTGAGAGTGCCAGCATTCCTCTGCATCCTGGTTTATTCCTCTGCATCCTGGTTTATCCCTCTGGCCATGGGAACACAGGCATGGGCATGACCCCACTGAATTGGGGTGAGGATTAGATGATGCCAATGAGTTGATCAGAGTTTGCTGCCGTTTCCCTCCCTGCTTTCCCTGTCGCCTGCACATTCACAGTGTGTCATTGCTTTACTGGGCTGTGTCCAGCCTGTGCTGGACCCTTTGCAGAACCAGCTCAATAAAAAACAACAACAACAACAACAACAACAATGAACTTTTACAAATTACTCTGGGTTCTCTTAGGCTGCTGACCTGAAGCAGCTTCTTAAAGGCAACCTGGCAGTTGATTGGAAAAAGATCTTGTCAAAAAAAGGTCATTTGCTTTTGTTTGCCTTCAACCTGAACCACTTTCTCTGTGAGCTGAGTGAACAGATTATTCTAAGCCTATATCTTTTAATTTTCTAAAGATGCCAAAAGTACCTGAGACAATTTTACTTTTATAATAGATTTTTGCAATCTAAGAGTTGAGAACAGTGAAGGATATTTGAGCTTTATTTGTATCTAAGTTGTCACTTGCTCCAGCCAACTACCCAGCAACCTTCCAGCCACTTCCATCATTCCTTGTGCTCCCTTCTGCCTGCCCTGAGCCACATGGGCAGCACTTGTCCCCTTGAGAACAAGGGCTTTGAAGAACTGTCCTGGCAGTGCAGGACAGGGAAGTAGAGGGATGGGGAGTGGCCTGGCCCCAGCTCACTGCCTGTGCTGCAGGGCAGGGTCCCTGTGCCAGCTGCCCTCAGCCCCTCGTCTGCCCCGGCACAGGGACGCTGCCAGCGCCATGGCCCGGCCCGGCAGCACCCCAACCACGCGCAGCAGCCGCTGCTGTGTCCCAGCTCAGCTGCCTCAGCAAACTCACACTTCTCTCTTCTTCCTACGGGGGTCTCTCCCAGCTCCACTCACCGTCACTGCACCCCCCGGCCCCATCACCGTGGCCAAGGGCGAGGACGTGGTGCTGCCCTGCAGCTTCTCCCCGGGGCAGAATGCACAGGACACGGAGGTGACCTGGTTTCGAGAGCAGTTCTTGCCCTTTGTGCATCGCTACAAGTTGGGCCAGGACCAGTTTGGGGAGCAGATGGTTCAGTACCAAGGGCGCACTGAGCTGGGGAAGGACGGCCTTGCCAAGGGCAGCGC